GAAACCCCCCAGCGAGGTGGCCAGCCGGATTTCAGTGGGGAGTGTGTTCCACAGCCGAGGGGCGACCGCCGAGAACGCCCGGTTTCTAGTTTTCTCCTTCTGGGCCTCTCTCGGCGTCAGGCCCCTCAGCCGTCCCTGCTGGCTATGTCGGGTGATCCGGGTAGATCTGGGCGGGAGGAGACGATCTGCCAAATATTAAGGTCCCAATAGAGAGTGAGGTGGCTAGAAGGGTTGTGCTAGTGTTTATTAGGAGCGAAAGTTCAGGTACTGGAAGTGTACATTAATGTGCCTATATTTTGAGAGAACTGATATGTCGTTTAAATTCCCTTGCATTTTCAGAATATAGCTCCAACCACAAAACATTGTTTTAAATCAAAGGAATCTAAAGACATCAGTACACAGAAAAAAACATCATTCTTTACCAAACAAGCTAGTGTAAGAGAATGTTAAAAGGACTGCATAAGTAAACACACCAACAGCCAGCAATGTAACACCTCTGACTAATTGTACAAAGCAGACCAATCAGTTCTAGCTGAGCCTTAAAGGAAATCACATCCACTCACAAAGGAGAGGGGGCTGCCATTTCAGACTATCTCTTAAAGAGACAGGTCCTGCATACCTGAAGGTGTTATTCCTAAGTCTCTCCACCCCCACAGGGTGCTGATACATTCATTAAAGTTTTCCTCCAGGATTAGAAAAGTTCCATCAAAATACAAAAAAAACAACCTTAATCTGATACAAAAAGGGAGATAAGAAATCCACAGTTTTCACCCCATAGCTAGCACTCTACATTGCCCACATGATTAAAAAGCACAGGAAAGAAAGTGGCAAGAATGAGAGGTAGAACTGCAGTAGCATTGAGCAACAGCAATATTTTTAAAAAGTTTCCAGAGATGGGAATGGATGAGGCACAATCTTTTTTTTTTTTTGGCACACTAGATTAGCAAGGCTTAGAGAGGCAAACGAGTGGAGACCTAGGCAATAGTGTTGCAGAGGAGAGAACTCAAATGGCAGCTATTTTTCCCACTGTCCTGCCTCCCTCACTGCTGCTGTAGACAGCTCGAATGGCTTCTAATACAACGGAGGGAAAAAAGTATAGATGTGTGTGTGGGGGGGAGAGACTCTGGACTGATTCTGATGGACTTGTACATCATGTAATCAACAGAAAAGAATGTGAACTAGACCATCCCAGTCCCGGAGCACTTCCACATTATTTGTCAATGTAGCTGCACCCACTGTCTGGGCACCGGAGGCAGGATGAATATACTTAAAAACTTTGATCTGCTCTGTGTAGGGAATGCATAAAAGGCCAGGAACACACAGAATGCAGTGTTCTTTAATTCTCTGAAGAGGAGTTCCCAATGGCTTCAGAGCCCCTGTCTAGCCATTGGAAAGTGATGCTCTCCACCTAGGGTATGGGGCAATGAAACAGTTTTCCAATTTTGAGTGGACAGCAGGTAGAGCTGGTGAAGGGTTGAAAGGCCCCCAGAAATGGGAGGAAGGTGTTAAAATCTTCCTCTGTTTTCAGTCATATCTGACTTTATATTTACAAATAAACACTTAACACGGATGTTATGGAGATGTTATTAAATCTTCATCAAGCTCTTCTTATTCAAAAAGAGGCAAAATTCTGTAGCACTACACTTGGACTTCCCACGACTGGAGCCTTGGAGAGAAATGGGTATCTGATGTCAACAAGCATGAAGATATGACTGCAGAACGCTGCTTTCAGCTGTCATGGTTCTCAGCAGCAATACAAGTAATAACATTATTCCCACAGTATTTCACAAGATTGAAAATCCACTTTTGGGGGACTTGCAGCTCCTAGAATTCCATAGTACTGCCAGTAACCACAATTGCTATGGAGTTCTAGGATTTTAAAAATAATTTAAATAATAATAATTTCCCCAATCTCTGTGTATTTAATTGGCACCAAGTATGATGAATTGACAGCAAAATGTGGGCAGTGTGATCATTGCCAAAGTCTTTCCCACCCACACATGATTTTCAGAGTAGGACTAAAATCCAGCTGGCAGGTCACGGAGACCAAAGGAAGGAGATCAGAAAGGAAACACACTTGGAGCTGTGCTTTTGCACCATATAAGTCACAACAGCAAGTTGGAATTTATGGGTTATAAAGTGGTCCCTGTATGTCTCCGTTTAGGACATGCATGATTCTCGACAATCTGGTTCTAAAAGACGGCTGCAGTCTTTGTTTGTTTATTTATTGTTCTTATTTGCAAGATAGCTTGCCTTTCTCCTGATAAGGGGACTCAAGGCGGCTCACACTATTAAAATAATAAAATTAACATAATTAAAACACAACAAATTACAGTGGTGCCCCGCATAGTGACGATAATCCGTGCAGCAAAAGTCGTCGTTATACGGATTCGTTGCTATGCGGATTTAAAAAGCCCTAAGGAATGCATTGAAACCCCTTCAATGCGTTCCTATGGGCTTAAAACTTACCTTTTAAGCGAAAATCCTCCATATGGCAGCCATTTTGGGCACCCGGTAAGCGACCACTCAATCCGTCCCTGTTTTACCCGGCGGCCATTTTGGAAGTGCCGATCAGCTGGGGGAAAAATCCTTATGCAATAATCGGTAAGCGAAACAGCTTACCGATCATCACAAAGCGATTTCCCCCATAGAAAACATCGTTATGTGATCGCAAAAGCGATCGCAAAAACATCGTCGTTATGCGGATTCATCATGAAACGGGGCGCCAGTTATGCGAGGCACCACTGTATATATTACAAGACAATTATAGTACTGATTAAAATACATTAAATGATTTAAAACTTTAGAAACAAACAAACAACTAAAAATGGTGTTCAGGGACTCAAGTTATGACAGTTTGTTAAAGCCATTATTTATTGACCATTCTTTTTACCTGTGGAGGTCCTGTCAGAAGCAATCGTCGTGGGTGAAAGCCTCTGGTACCACTAGCAGTTTCATTGTGGTTATTGTGGTCCGCATGGTGTAACCGTGCTGAAGTCCACTGCCTGTAGTACAATGACTGCTCTTCACTAGTCGTATCTTTATGCATCAAAGGCCTTAAAGAACTCACCCAAGACACATCGGCATGAGGCAAGAGAGAAGAAGAAGAGAAAGGCGGGTGCCCACTTTTCTGTGAGCCAAGGAGGCAATAGGCAGCTTTAGACAGGATCACAATTCGAGGTAAGGCCACATGCAAATTCTTGTGTTCTTTCACAGACTGGCTAGACCACTGGAATGTCTGGCTGACAGAAGGGGAGGCTGCTGACAATTTTGAAGTGGTACTGCTTGCTATCTGGTTGCCTAAAGAGTCACATTCTTGTTTCAAGTTCTCTGTAGCAGCAAAGCCTTCATCGACCGAGCTATTGGCCACATTTTGGAAATTTAGGGATGATGGCGGCTTCTGGGACTTGTCAGCGGTACTGGAAGAGCTCACACCATTTTCTGCTATGGAACCTGAATGCAAAGAACAGACATAAACTGAACAACTTTCAGCAAATTACCATACCAAATGGCACCATCCATTTTCTGGAATGAGGTTTTACACCACAAATGGATATTTGTCCATTCAATCCATGTTGTGAGCCTCTGATAGGTCCCCAGACCTGACACTTGAAAGATTTGAGAGCAAACAGATAGCTAGTCAAGACATTCCTCTCTAAAATGTTATTGACAAGCAGAATCTTAACATATAAAAAAGCGAAGTGTGCTGCTTATATAAAGCCCCATAGTGTGCAAAGCACTCTCTGGGCAGTTTAGAATTTAATTACCGTATGCAGGCTACACACTGCCTCACATCCCCAGTTCTCAATTCACTAATTCGCCTGCCTGGCCGCCCGCCCGCCCGGTTACCTGCCGCCGGCGCTGGAGCACAGCCCTCGCCCCCCCCAGCTGCCTCCACAGCTGCTCGGCAATCCACCATACCCAGCCAGCCCACGTGGAGCCCAGAAAGGCAGCGCCACCCGCCGAGCCAGGCAGGGGCGAGCAGCACCAGAGCACATCGATGGGAAGGTGAACGCCTGGACTGTGTGTGTTCAAAGTCCCTTTCGGGGACTCCAACTCCCACACCCCCCAGCCTTGAACTTATGACCCTTGGGGGAGGGGAGGCTGGCTCATTTGTTTTTGCCCAGCACCACTTTCCCCCTGCCTGTGCCAGAGCCTTGTTTGGGCATCCATATTAGCAAGGTTGCCTCTGAGCCTTTGTAGAGTGCAAGCGGCTGGTGGATCCTGCAGCCAGGCCGGGGTGGGTTTGGGTACAATTGGCTGTTTAAATAATGTTTTTTGGTATTTTGAAAAAAAAAGCCTCCATTGAATTTATTTTTATTTTTTAACATGACTGTTTCTTGGTCAGTTCACTAAGAGACATTTATTGGCAGCTATTGTAATAAAATTGTATTGATTGCAGGTTTAATCCAGAACAATTCAAAGGAAACATTCAATACGTTTTCCTCTGTCCTCTTTTTTATCTATGTCCTCCTTTTGGTACCCATGTATCTGGCAGCCCTACTCATGGCACAGTAATTACATGCAGTCACATACAACATTATATCTCTGTGCTTTAAAAAAACCCTGCTCCTGAACATTCCCGTCCAGCATGCTCTTTTAACAGGCTGGTCAAGGTGCAAATTACATGACAGGATTTTGGCCTGAAGAACTTGAAAGAGAAAATGACAAGTTTCTTTAAAAAAATAATATTTTGCTTTATAAGCGATCTGAAAGCAGCTTTCAAATATTTATTTCATCAGGAGTAAATAGGATACCACTACAGCTCTGAAACTGAGGCTCCAAAACTTTGGCCATCTCATGAGAAAGGAAGACTCCCTGGAAAAGACCCTGATGTTGGGAAAGTATGAAGGCAAGAGGAGAAGGGGACGGCAGAGGACGAGATGGATGGACAGCATCATTGAAACTACCAACATGAAATTGACCAAACTCCAGGAGGCAGTGGAAGACAGGAGGGCCTGTCATGCTCTAGTCCATGGGGTCACGAAGAGGCAGACATGACTTAACGACTAAACAACAACAACAGCTGTTTCAAGTTGCAGATACCAAATTTATCAAAATCATAACAAAAATATGCCAACAAATGTGAAAAAACAAAATGGCTCACAGTCTGGAAATATTCAGTTTATATTCCAGTCCTAGAGAATATAGATGCCAAAGATTGCTGTAATTACAGGGCCACTGCTTTTGTGAAGTCACCAAACTTCACTGCATTCCTTCAATTTCAAACTTGAAGTCAACAGTCAGGATCATTTTCTTACTTGCAGCAACTTTCTTTCCTTCTCCCCCTAATTCCCTCCACCCTCCAGCTCTATATTCCCATTCTCAATCTTTTCTTTTCTCTTCCACACCACATTACAAACTGCATTGCCTCTTGGATTCCCAGTGGTTTAAAAGCTGACTCTTCAGCACCTCTTGAAAACTCAAAGTCCATGATGAACAAGGACAACACTGAAAATACAGAACAAAACAAACAAAACAAAAACCAGTCAACCTGAAGTTCCGGTCACAGCACTGCTGTTACTCTGGGGTCTCTCCAAGTCAATCAACAGCTCCTCAGCATCGTTCTCACTGACACCGGCCTTCTCTTGCTCCTTCCCACTAAGGTCAAGGGCCACAATAGGTCCTCGGATTGCTTCCTTTGAAACATAACAGCATGCCAGGCCTACTTCTTGTTCTAAGGCAGTGCGAGTTAAATAGCTTGAGTCTATTAGCCGAAGATCACAGTATTTCAAAGACCTGGAAGTCAATAAATAAAGATATTTTTTGGTGGAGAAAAACTGCACTATATTACTTATCTGTGCTGTTCTTACGAAGGTATAATGAGATGGTATAGGTCATTTTGTCTGAACCCGAAAGGGGACATCAATGGGTGTAAGAGGTAACCATGTGGATTTCTCTGTTTACTGGCAAATCTTATTCCCTTATGTTTCTCTCCTTCTAAATTTTATCTGGATTTCTGATCCCAGAATGCTGGGTCTTGTTTCCACAATGGCACTGAAACATTTCTAAGACATTATTATCTGTTTCTTGTTGCTTTTTTTTTAAACTTTGGGACTCTGTTCTGACCCCTTGCACATGTTCAGTTTTGCTACACTTCTCAGTACATGCCTTTTCTTTTTTTATCAGTGAGCTTTGGCACATGTGTGATTAAATCATGATGCAAAAAAAATTACTGCTGTGATTACATCAGGACTCGCTCTTGTGTTATGGCTTAATGTGCATCATTAAATTAGGGCATAAAAGTGGATGCGGATGTGATTATACTGCCCTATTGAGACTGAGGCTGTGATTTCTGTAGAAGGACCCTTTTTCCGAACCTGAGGAGGGGAGCCAGATATCTGATCAAAGGCTACCCTGTTAGCTTACTCTGTCTAATGTTCTAAGTCAGGCTAGAGAGGATGTCAAGTTCTGTTCATTTCTGCTTCGGTCCGATGAAGGAGAAACACTAGATAATGAATTCAAGCAATTTAGTGCAACCTTGCTGGAAGAGAGAATTTCTCCAGACATTACGATGTATTTGTCTCAAGTCTGACTCTTTGGTCTCTTTCTGAATTTCAAGCAAGCATTTATTTTAGCACCACTGGCCTCACACTCTGTTATAAAACGAGGGGGGGAAATAAGTATATGCAATGCTAACAGGACCTATTTAGTCTTAAGCAATGGGTTACTTGGTCACCTTCTGTCACTGGAGGTGATTCAATCACTGCATACATCATCCAACATTCCTCTTCCTCTGATCCTGCCACCAAAGTAAGTGGTGCCTGGAAAGAGGGACGTTTCTGTGCTGGCACTCTTTTTATGCAATGCCTTCCTCAAAAGATGTGCCAAAACCCATTCTAGTGCCTGGCAAAGACATTCCTATTGTCAGGCTTTAAACAGCAACTACATGAGCGATTCACTGGCTTTTCTAAACTTTACATCCTTATACTCTGATTTGCTGATTTTATTTACTTTGTTCTACCGTGTTTCCCCGAAAATAAGACAGGGTCTTATATTAATTTTTGCTCAAAAAATGCATTTCAGGGGATGTTTTATTTTTTTCATGTACAACAATCTACATTTATTCAAATACACTCATGTCATCTTATTTTTAGGAAAACAGGGTAATATTTTATTTGCATGGTTGCACAGAATCATAATACTCTGCTATTTTCCTATAACACCTCTGCAATCAATCAGTTGAATTACTTTTCATATAGTTTTACAAATATATTTGTGCCTTTTTTTTTCCAAACACGGGGCAGCATTATAAATGGGCCATTCCACATTAACTGATTGTCACTTAAAATAAGAACCTGGAAATTATCATAAATTTTAAGAAGTTTTAAAAACAATTCTGGGACTGTGGATCACCTGCACTGACAAATACATTGGGATTAGCTCCACAATTAGTACAGGGTATTTTTCAGTGATCACACAATGCAAAGGCCAATGTGAATCAGCCCACTCCTTTGTGCCTCCAATTCAGATTTCCCCACCACCACCAATGGAGGTGTCTACTTTTTTAAAACCAGAATGATTTCCCTGTATGACTGTTTGTTTTGTTCTACAAAAGAATGGGGTCATGACTCAGAATGGTGTGACTGTGACATATTAAGCTGAGATATGGTGTTTTGGAACGGTGGGAATACACACATCCATGATCTTTGTCCTAAAAAAAAACCTACTAAATTTGATGGTAGATCACCTTATCAGCACATTGATACATTAGTTTAGCACTAGATCACCCCAGCACAGAAAAAAAGATGAGGAAGAAGCAACAGGGACTACCAAGGGGGCAGTATCAAAGAATTGGGGGCTATTGGTACATATCAAGCCCTATTGGATTGAGGGCCAATGTAGACACTGGCACGGAAACAATCCAGGGTCTTCACGTGATGACCTAAACTGAATACAACTGTAGTTGCTCTCCAACTCTGATCATACCTGGGGAATGTTTCTCCTAACGGATCCTTGCCAGTTAGAACCACAATACAAGGCAGACCTTCCAAATCTTGGTAAGTATGAGGAAACCAATCCTCTCGCTCATCTCCTCTCCATGCCTGTGAGAAATGAACAGCAAGAAAACTTGGAATAATTTTTTTTTCATTGTTATCTTACACACATTCTTTGTGCTAAAACTGTCATTCTTTAGGTACTCGAGTCATGTAATCTCTGAACACAGGGGGTTCTGTTTTTTTATTTCTCTCCCCTCTTCCTGCAGATTTGGCTCTCATGACACTCCAGGGCTATTCAATGGGAAGTCATGCTTCCACTTGGAAGAATTACCTTTTAAGAAAGTGGAAGCATAGCAGCTCCTTACATTCATTGCACAGGTTACCTTGACAAAGAGGAAGTTACCCAATCTCTCCATCACTTTAAGTATCATTGTTGAAGAAGGAAGGTGTGAGGATATGTTTCACATAACCAAAGCCAAACTAAAATGGAAGGACTGCAACAACAGCTGAACAAAATTGTGTGAAAGCAAATAAGCAAGTGTTCTGTCATAAATTGGGGAGGACTGAGGCTATGCATGTGCCCTGCCCAACACATCCCCAATCCACTCACAAGCCACTCAAACCTTTGCTTACAAGTTATTTACAAGATATTTTGTTGCTAAATGACAAGATGGCACCCTCATCCATTCCATGTATAGAAAATAGCTGGACTGACAAGCTAATATTACTTCAGCTCTAGCAACGGGAGAGTGGGCTGCAATATAGCTGAGGCATCAGGCTAAAATAGGCAGCTCAGGCCAAACTATGTGGAAAAGGGAAGAGGTAAGAATTCCAAGCACAATATGTAGGAGGCTACCACTGCTGCCCCCCTACCCAACATCCTACCTGACGTTAATGCTTCATTTTGTCTAATGATAGGGCTGGCCCTACTTTAGACTAAGCGAATCCTTAGATTTACCTGAGTAAAACTGTCTCACTTGAGCTGTAATCCTGTAATCCCACATATATGGTAGGGCAACCTACTGAGCTCAATGAAATTTCTTCTGAGTGGCTATCCACTGTTAATTGAAATAATGCTACCAAGAAACCAGTCATTTACCTTCATAGAAGTCCCTTGGTGCCCTCTAAGAAGTGTGGGAGGCAATTCTGCCATGACCCGACGCCTCCAAGAATCTTGTGTTTCTTGCCACTAAAGGGCACAGGGGAGCTTCTTCTGTAAACAAGTTTGGGGGTGGGGGAGTGCGAGAGGAGAAGCAGCCCTCCAGGATTCCAGACCTCTGGAAGTTGCCTGCCCCTCTTGTAATGCCCAACAAATTTTGCTAAGGCACAAAAGTTAAATTTCATCACTGTAGTAAAGAAGGGACTATATGCTGAAACCGGCTGAAGCAAAGAACAACCAGTGATAGGGCCATTAAAACAAGAGATCTCAGCACACATATCAATAATAATGTCCTGTTTGGGGAATAATTAAGTTAACAAAATCTGCCTTCAAACATCGAAGAAGAAGCTTTCAGTGACAGTTTCCTTTCTTACTATTTACTCTTCTCCCTCAGACTGATTCATTCTCTCTCTCCCTACCCACCACCTTATACAAATGCTATGTGTTATGAGTCATTTCTCCTTTCAGAAGAAGAGGATGGAAATCGAATACGTAAGAGTGGATCAGTGAGTCAATTTCAAGTTCTGCTTTTCATACGTTTCTAGTGTAAAAAGATCTATGACTAATTCTTTTATCAGGACTGGGGGCAGAGTCACCTCTTCTGTTAGGAATCTATTTCCCTGCCTCACTGGGCCAGCCGCCTGTGTTCTGCACCTCAGCTGGAGTGGAAGCAAAACAAATGGGAATGTGCACTTGTAAACTCAAAACAGTTCTCTACACATCGGGAGATTGCAAATGTATATTATTATACTCAATGTACTCAGTTTGACTGCATTAAGAAAATTATAATAATATGAAAGGTATATATGGGCTCTGACATGATTTCAGGTACAACCTTCTATGTCGCTTGAGACTGAGATAAGGTAATAAATAGGGGGTTTGGCTTGGTAACTCATATAAACACTCAGTTGCAGTTTGTTACTCTTCAGGGACCCTGAAAGCACTTTTTTCACTGGTCATAAAGTATCAGTACTTTGTGGGACTGTTCCCATCCTTTCTATTTATTACATTATTTATGAACTCTGGTGTGATTCCTTGGTGCAGGACTTATTTTCAGCATACAGTGGACCCTCTACTTATGGAATTAATCCGTATTGGAACGGTGGCTGCAGGTCAAAAAGTCTGTAGGTCAAGGCTCCATTGACCTACAATGCACTGAAAACCGATTAATCCGCAACCAGCTGTTTTTATACTGTTTTTGTTCCATTTTGGTTTTTTCTGGTCTGTAGGTCGATTCTCCGGCTGCAGGTTGAACCTAAATTTTGCGGCCAGAGAAGTCTGTAACTTGAAAAGTCTATAAGTCGAGCCGTCTGTAAGTCGAGGGTACTCTGTAATGCATCATGTTGCTATTCTTTCTGAATACACAACCTGTGTGAATGTTCTATTGTACTAAGAGGCTGATCAAACAGATGGTTGCCTGAAATAATTACTATTGCACCTGTTCTTCCAAGAATACAAATTAGCATTTTACTCCCAGTAAAGACTAAAGTGTATTGTCTCGAAAAATGGGTTTGCGACTTGATTTTTATACTTATTAGGTAATGCCCTAATTCTGTGGCTGTAACTCTGCAAAGAAAAATCTCTGACTGGGTCAAAGTTAACAATCTTTCTTTTCCCACATTATTTCTTCATGGCTTCCCACAGTAAACTTTCAACTGCACAGTTGTGCAAGCTACACTGTGCAACATCTTTGGTGTTTTGCTATCTCAGTACACTTGCAAGACAATGCAGCAGCTCCCATCTCAAGGATGTCGGCACCTGTCACGTGTACGTGTGTACAAACAATGATCATTTCAGCAGGCAACATCTACTTCACTTAGTGCACTGCTACAAAAAAATCTTTTTGATTACTTTAACTAATGGACATAGTAATGATGTTGTATGAATTAATGAGGTCCAATTCTACATATTTCCTATGCTCATCCTCCATAAGAAGTGTAAGCTGAAGAATTACCATGCTTGCATGTAAACTCACACAATCTATGTAAACTGGCTCTCAGAATCCCTCAAAATGCTGGTAGATGTAGTTCAAAAAAGGAACCTTGTCAATAAGCACAAATAAACAGTATTCAACTAACCTTTAACCTCTTCACAAAGTGCTTGGCAACAGTAATTTCTGAAGCTGGGTTCCCCAAAATGATCTCAAAACGATACTGGAGGCCAAGTTTATCACGTGCTTCCTGCAACCTCTCTTTTGCCAGCATTGCCAGCTGCACAGAAGGAATCCTAATAACCAGCATGTGGCCACGGCCGTTTTTATCCTTGCCAGGTGCAGTGATGATATCATCCATAATACTGAGAGTCTCAGGTGTGCTGTGGTCTCTGAGTGAGGCCATAGTGGTAAGAGCCATCAGTGCTTCCAAATACTGCTGAATAAGGAGATAGCAGCGAATCACCATACTGTGCAGCCGAGGATACCTTGGAACGAAGACATTTCTGTTTCAGTCAGCGAAACCAGTACATGGTGATTTGAAATCAGGTCTACATAACAGGTATCACAGAAAGGAAAGAAGAATTTATGCTCTATGTAGTCTGAAAATCCCACAAGTACAGAGCCATAACTAGGGTGAACAAACTAGGAATCTGACCCCAAAATTTGCTGTTGGAAGCATGCCAACAATTACCAAAAGTGCTAGTTATGGCCACACATATTGTTCAGTCTAAATAGGTAGCAGAAGTATAGATAATAATTATATGCCACCAAGTCATTTTCAGCTTATGGTGATGCTTTCCAGAGTTTTCTAAGCATGGAGAAGTACTTTACCATTCCCTTCTTCTGGGGACATTCTGTGACTCTGTAGCTTGCCCAAGGCTACACAATCTGCCCCTTCTCCCAGGAGGCACAAGTGGGGAATCAAACTCCTGACTAGTGGTGATTCCATAGCCAGATACCTAGCTCAGTGACCTATCCGTCCAGCCAGAAATGAAAATAGGATCTGTTAACTGTATCTAACAATACAATCCATGTTTACTGACAACTAAGTCTGACTATGTTCAGCGGGACATATTCCTTACTGTTTACAGGAAGTTAGGTTAAATCTGGCATGTACACTCCCGGAGAATAGGTACAGAGTAGAACAAAGGGACGTGGTGGTGCTGCGGGCTAAACCGCAGAAGCCTCTGCTGCAGGGTCAGAAGACCAGCAGTCATAAGTTCGAATCCACACGACGGAGTGAGCTCCCGTTGCTTTGTCCCAGCTCCTCGCCAACCTAGCAGTTCGAAAGCATGCAAATGCGAGTAGATAGGTACCACCTCAGTGGGAAGGTAAAACAGCATTCCCTAGTCACAATGGCCACGTGACCATGGAAACTGTCTACGGACAAACGCTGGCTCTACGGCTTGAAAACGGGATGAGCACCTCACCCAAGAGTCGGACATGACTGGACTAAAAATGTCAAGGGGAACGTTTATATTTTACTAGAACAAAGTTTGCAGGATGCTCACAGAAGTATATGAAAGCTGAATTACAGCAATCTTTTCCTTAATTAAGAGTAGCTGATTCAATAAAAGGCGGCATGTTGTTGAGTTTACAAGACCAGACCAGAGCATTTTAGAGCTCACTAATTCATAGTGTTATAAATTGGAAGCAACCTGATGGCATAGAACAAGAACAATAATTAAAACTATAATGTAAGCATTCTCTTGAGCAGCTGCCACCAAATTAACCAGAGGAATGTGAGAGACAACATAAAACACACCACTGTGAGTGGGAAGGAGAACCAGCATGTTATCACATCATTGTGTGTCAGCATTAGCCTCCATAAGAACTGGCAGTTGGAATATACTTTCGCTCATTCAATGCAGAGTAATTGTGTGCAAACTGATCACTGTGAAAATTGCAGTTATCACATCCAATGTGAGTGTTTTAGCCAAGAATGTACTTCATAGAGTAGCATTTTGTTTAGAAATCTTGACAAACCTGGAACTTGCTAAATGTGTTTGCTCTTTTATGGTTTTCTGCTTTGCTATAAAGGAGTGTTTTCATTTATTACTTGCCATGTTGAAGACATTCTCTAGGCCTGAAGATGTGGGCCATAAATGCATTTATCAACACATAGTTAAAAAATCTGCAGTGACTTTATTGTTCAGTATGAGCCAGGGCTCTAGAAGCAATTGCCCTTTTGCCTGTCTCTGGCCTAGCTGTTATTTGCAAATGGGCACCTGGGCTGGACCCCTTAAGGCTGCAGACTGGGAAAGGCTCTCCTGTTGCTGAATGCTTCTCTATCCAAACTTTCCGTTCATATAGAAAACTACAAAGTAAAGAACCAGGTTCCAGCTTGGCTTTCTCCCTATGAGATTAGATTTGTATATTTTAGGGATAAGAACATAAGAAAGGCCATAACAGATCAGACTAAAGGCCTGTCTAATCTAACATCATGTTGCCACAATAGCCAACCAGCTGCACAGGGGAATCCCATAAGCAGGACACAGATATAGTGGTACCTTCCTGTTCTTTCTCCCCTGCAACAGGCAGGAGATACAGTCTTAAGAGAATACACAGCCATTATAACTAGTAGGCACTGGTACCACCATCTTCCGAGGACCGTTTCAAAGAGGATTCAAAGACCTCTAGTCTGGGACCAGATTATTTGTAAGGCCAGTTACACCCATATGAAACTGCTGGAGCTTCACATGCTGTGTCAGAGGTGCTGCTTTTTATGCCACTTTTAAGAGCAGTTAAACTGGTGGGTGTTTAAGGCCTTTTGCTCCAGCCATCGCTGGAATATGGCCTCCAAGAAATTATCTGAAAGGGAATTCCAGCTTTCAGCTGCAACAGATTCCCCAGTGTTACAGTATACTATGGCACATGTAATGAGGCCAAAACTAAAGTTGAAAGACGAATCATGTAATGAGGAAAAAATCTTTAATACAAAAATATCATATTTGGAATTCCAGAGACCTTCCTGTGGCTTTCTAGCCATCCATACTCATGACCCTGACTAATGCTAAATACCCTGGTCCCCAAGGATTTACCTCTCTAAGAGTGTATTCACCATTTTTTCAAAGGTTTCGTCACATCTCAGAAGCGGACTTGTGATTCCCCACTGCAGGGATTTGCTGTATTCATTCAGACCAAAATAGAATTTTTCATCTTGGCTTAGTTCTTCCTGCTTCAAACAGAGATATTAACAACAAATAATTATTTTATACTTATATCTGTATCTCAAACATTGGCATATTTTCCCCCTCTCCCTTTAAAATGAAGATCACTATACTGTATTATTGTATCTTATTAATGCTTTTTTCAACATTAATATTAAATACATTTGTTTAAACCACATTTTATTATCCTTAGATTCTATACCTGAGTCATCTTTTCTAGCAAGACTATCATGATTGCAGATAAAGTATTACATAATAATCTACTCCACCATTCCTATAGTAGGCAGGTGTACTACTACAAAGTACTCTACATGTATAGCCACCTTTGGAGATAATCTAGAATTAATTCAAACTACTGGTGTGCTCACCTTTAAAATGCCATGCTTAGCTAATGATGAAGGTACCTGAACAACTATCATATACTGTACAACTTCATCCAGTGGAAATCTTCTCCAGGTGTCCCCATGGTTACAATTCAAGTGGTGACAACCAGGAAGAGAAATCATACAGTGATTGCACCCAGTCTGAGTGACCTCCCCAAGGAGGCATGCCTATCATTCCACTTTGATATCATACCAGTGGTAAGAGGTAATATTCCTGAGATTTTGTTCACATTGCAAATTTTCAAAATCTGCAGTTCTTGTAAGGTAGTGTGAGCTTTTATTGATTAGATTTTTTTTACAGTTTTAGAAGAAAATATTTACAAAACTGGAAAAATGGAAGGGATCCCATGGAGCATCAAGTCCATCTTCCAGCTAATGCAGGAGTCCACAGTTAAAACGTTTATCAGAGAGAGCCATCCAACCTCTGTCTTAAGTTCACCAACATATTAGAGTCCACCAATTTCCAAAGTACGAGTCTGTTCCTCTATTAAGCAGCTCTTGCTGTGAGGAAGTTCTTCCTAACATTTAGTCAGAATCTGCTTTCTCATCATTAAGATCCACTGGCTCAGGTCCTACTCACTAGAGCAGGAACAAACATGCTTAATCCATCTTCTATGTGACAGATCTTCTTATATCTGAAGATCAGATAACCTTTCACTGTTTCCCAAGTTAATCATACCCAACCATCTCAACCAGTTCTCATACAGGTTGGTTTCTGGACACTTTGTCATGTTATTTGCATATGTTCAGCTTTCACTGTTTCCCAAGTTAATCATACCCAACCACCTCAACCAGTTCTCATACAGGTTGGTTTCTGGACACTTTGTCATGTTACTTGCATATGTTCAGCTTTATATTCTTCTTGAACAATGATGTCCAAAATGGACAGGTTGGTTTCTGGACACTTTGTCATGTTATTTGCATATGTTCAGCTTTATAGCCTCGTGGCGCAGTGGTTAAAACGCTGTACTGCAGCTAAAACTGTGCTCACGACCTGGGGTTCAAATCCCAGGTAGACGGCTCAAGGTTGACTCAGCCTTCCATCCTTCCGAGGTCGGTAAAATGAGTACCCAGCTTGCTGGGGGGGCAATGTGTAGCCTGTATAATGAAATTGTAAACCGCCCGGAGAGTGCTTGTAGCACTATGGGGCGGTATATAAGTCCAAAAAAAAAAAAAAAATTCTTCTTGAACAATGATGTCCAAAATGAGACACAGTATTCCCAATGGTACTATTAACTCTCTTTATCGGGACACTATTCTCTTGTTGATGCAACTTATAATTTCATTAGTTTTTCTTTCTTTCTTGGACACCGTACCAGTTTGTCAACTCACATTTAGCCTGTGATCTACTAATCCCCCTTGATTCTTTTTCCACATCCTGCTATCAAGCCAGGTGTCACTCATCCTATATTTTTGCATTTAATTTTTCCTCATAAAATCCTACCCTCTGAATCTTGCTGCCTGTCTATTCAATTCCTGGTTCTCTATCTGTTGAGGTCATCTTGTACGCTGATCCTGCCTTCTGAGGTATTAGCTATCCTTGTCACTTTGGCGTCACTTGCAGATCTGCTGAGCATTGCTCTGTTCCTTCACCTAACTCAATTATAAAACTAGACAAGTGAAAAGTACAGCACAAATTTCTGAGAATAAGTAAAGTTGGCACCATTATTGAACAATTTCTGAGCCTATTTACAGCAGAGGAAGCAACTGGCAGTTGCCAAGTTGTGTCCTGTACAGAACATGATATGGATCCTCCCCCTTCTGGGTCAGTATCTGAATTCATCTGTAAACTACATCAGCAGGAACTCCCCCTTCTGGGTCAGTATCTGAATTCATCTGTAAACGTAAGTACATCAGCAGGGAAAAAATTACATCTAGAGACAGAAAATGTTAAAACAAGCAGGTAAACACTTCTGACCACTGTATGGCATTTACAACACTCAGACTCTTACCATGTTGCCAAACTGTATCCAGTGCACCTCATTGGCAGAGCTGATTCTGGACTGCTGAGTTTGTGGGTCAGTATCTGAATTCATCTGTAAACGTAAGTACATCAGCAGGGAAAAAATTACATCTAGAGACAGAAAATGTTAAAACAAGCAGGTAAACACTTCTGACCACTGTATGGCATTTACAACACTCAGACTCTTACCATGTTGCCAAACTGTATCCAGTGCACCTCATTGGCAGAGCTGATTCTGGACTGCTGAGTTTGAAGAGTATAAGGGAAAGAACTCACTTGAAGGACAAGGAGATTGAAAGCTTCAAGAACCTCTCTGCAGTTTATCACTCTATCCGCAAGTCCGTTGCTTGGCTCTCCATGGGACACAGAGTTTGAGAAGCTACTACCAAAAGAGAGAAAACCTGCAGTTTTTCCTGGCCTTTTTTAATTTATATTTTCACATTCTCTAGATCAAAGTTGAAAGGATTAAAATAATAACTAAAGAAGTCACTTAGTTCACAAAGAAACAAGAAACAACAAAACAGTGTGTAACTGCACAGATCAAGGAATGATGGCTTAATGTTCCCCATCCACCCTGCCTTAGGGAAAGCAGCAAAAGTAGTTTCCATCCAAACTCTGGTGTTGTTGTTGCTCTTAGAAATTGTATGGAGAGTGTTTGTGTTGCTTTTAGCTATACTGTGCACTAGGCAATCACAGAATAACTGAGTTCGAAGGGGCTTATAAGGCCATCAAATCCAATCTCCTACTCAGTGCAGGGATCCAGATCAAAGTATATCTGACAAATGGCTGTTCAATTTTCTCTTGAACACCTCCAGCACTGGAGCGCTCACCACCTCCCAAGGTAATTGGTTCCATTGTCATACTGCTCTAACAATTAGGAATTTTTTCCTGATATCATTACTTCGTCTCCCAATTTTACAGAGTTTTCAAGTGTTTGAGAAGGCACTGCATAAAATAAAAATCAAAAGTGGAGGCTTCCATGTGGGGAAATTAAAGAATGTGCTCCATCAATTGGTTCATGTAACAACCTTGGTGCCCATCATCAGCATCCCAGAACTATCAGCTCTAGGATCCAGTATCTCAGTGCAGTCAGAAATGAAAAGGCATGAGACAAAGCAAATGAAACATGCTATTGGAAATGAGCAGGCTGCTCGTAGAAAACCCTACTGAAGTGAAGAAAAAGAATGGTTATAAAAGTAAACCAATGGATCTAGCAAGTTGCTCATGATATGCAATATGGCATACAACTATGCAATATTTTGCAACCTTCACTCAGCATCTTTTTGGAGTATGTCATAAGAAAGCACTTGATTGTTTTCTAATACAAGTAGGAGTGACACCCTACCTGCATATCAATAGCAAACCTTTTTGTTTATGATCATTCTTTTTGGCAATATTAATGCCGTATCTCCAGAAATATCGGCCATGTGTTTATTACAAGAACCATGGAAATACATACAGGCTACTGAAGATCTTTCTAAACATAAAACATGCAAATTTAGGAACACAAATGGACATTATAGCCACAGCTGCTCATTTTTTAACACAAGTAATTGTGTCTCTAAAACATGTCTGGCAAATATACTTCGTACTGTGATGCACTGACCAGAAAAAGACTTTTTATTCTTTATATAGTCATGAACTATGTTTAAGGTTGTTTTACTTTACTTTAAAAGAATTACCTTGTGAAGTCCACATGGGCATTGTCATGTACCAACACAAAGAGTGTGTATGGATTCTGCTTCACCCGCCTCATGAAAACGTCAAATTTGGTTTGAATTTCATTGTCTAGCCGCACCACATATTTTTCAGCTTTCTGGTAAGCTGTTCCATTTTCTTCAAGGCCCAAGTCTACAAGAACACCTAAGGGAAGAAATGATGGGGCAGAGGCCTATTTTTATCCAAAAATAGGAAACACTAAGGGACTTTTTTAAAAAACAAAACAAAACAAATTAGTATATTCGCGAAGGCTTTCATGGCCGGGATCTAATGATTGTTCTGGGTTTTTCGGGCTCTTTGACCATGTTCTGAAGGTTGTTCTTCCTAATGTTTGTCTCTGTGGGCCAGTCTTTGTGGACGGCATCTTCAGAGCACAGAGTGTTGTCCTCTGAAGATGCTGGCCACAGAGACTGGCGAAATGTTAGGAAGAACAACCTTCAGAACACGTCCGAAGAGCCCGAAAAACCCAGAACAACCAAAACAAATTAAATTAATAGCTGAGATCCTGTTGCTTAGTATAGTAAATTGCAACCAGAGTAGGGCCACAGAATCAATGGAGCTTCAGAGGAACGGGCTCATCAAATCCCCACATATTCAATGGCCGAATCCACTTGTCATTCACTATGCTAAGCAACAGGATTTTAACCAGAATATGATAGATTTAGAGAACTAAATGTTAGCTGAGCTATCAAGCTTGCTTAATTGGAGTCCCTCTCACTCTTTCTTTTTTGCTTTCTCCCAATTGTTTGTAACACACACACACACACACACACACACACACACACACACACACACAAGGATATAGACCTTTCTTGTAACGCAATTTTTTTCTTTTCCTCACTGGCAACGATGGCAAGGAGATTTTGATAAGAAATCTTGCACTAGTAAGAATAATGTTTTGTCCAAATAGAATGGAATAAAATAAATAATTTTATAAACCCAGTTTGAGGAAAATTGCCTGAGTTCTGTGTAACCTTTCCTGGGTTTTGCACAGCACTGTTCTGGAAATTGTACAAATTACCCAACTTTGGAAAACCTCTTAATTAACATTTTGAAGTCCTGGTAGGGTTTTCTTCCATTTGGCATATTTTTTTAATAATCAGCTGTGCTTCCTGTGTATGTATGTCTAGATTGTGTCTCAAAGCTAAAGGCCAAGAGTGATATTTGACAGAAATTATACAGGGATCTTAAGAGTGGAAAGAGACCTCCTTCACTTTCAGTTTTGGGATGAGGAATCTCACAGGGCTTTAAAATTTCTTGTGGAGGTGTCTGCTCTTGAGAGAGTTTAAATTGACAAGAATGAGCAATTTAGTGAGCATTCTTTTCATCTCTCATATACATCCTACATCCCAGTAGAGGAAAGGGCTGACAACAATGTGTGTTTGCACACACAATTTCCTCAGTTTTTTAATTCCAAAACATCTCATGATCAGCTTTAAAATGTGAAATCTCCAATCTCAAACCAACAGAAAAGGATTAAGCGGGATGTCCAGTAGTCAGAGCTTTCGTTTCCTATGAGTAGTATCCCAAACCTTCCCAGGAATAAGGTTGCTGAACAGTGAATAAATGTTTAGCACTATGACTAATTAGTAACAAATATAAAGACATAGAACCCATTTTGTTTTGGTGAAGAACTGAAACTAACTTGCCATATAGTTTTGATTTTTCTAAGACGGAAAATACACAACCCAAGTCTCATATTCATTTACATGAGTACAGTTGCAAATGATGTTAAATACTAAAATCTTCTGCATGTAGATTGGACCTTTGCTTGTTTAATAAATACAAAACTCCATTAATTCAATGGAAACATATATACATATCAATTAGGATTTAATATATGCCTCCACCCCACTCCACCCCCACCCCACCAATCTGTTTCCTACCTGATTGTCGAATCCGTTGAAGGGTTTGTTGGACCAGCACTTCTGAACGGGGGACCACCACAATGAAATCTACTTTGCTGAAATGGCCCAGATCTAGGCTTTGGTTTCCACTGTCTGCTATGGCACACACTTGTGACAAGAGCTTTCTGGCAATTGTGAGCTGTGGCTGATAAATTTGGAAGGTTTCACTGTCCAAATCTATGAGAAAGAAGAGTCATAGTTCACAGACATTTGAGTGTGTGTGCCCACAAGTCTTATACAATAAGGTTATGTCCATACAACTCACTGTTGACAATGACATTATTCCTGTTGAACAGGCAGAAGCCACGGAAAAGGATTTCAGCCATTCTAAGCCATTCCGAATCTAAAGATTGGGAAGAAGCCTTGTTTATGGAAGGTTTGTACAAATAAGGTGATTTTAACTTTAGGTCAAATTCACTGACTACAATGATGAGTGTCTATCATTTCTTAGGTTGAGGGTTATAGATACTATTTGTCCGTCTCTGCTCAGGAACAGGCAGAAGCCACGGAAAAGGATTTCAGCCATTCTAAGCCATTCCGAATCTAAAGATTGGGAAGAAGCCTTGTTTATGGAAGGTTTGTACAAATAAGGTGATTTTAACTTTAGGTCAAATTCACTGACTACAATGATGAGTGTCTATCATTTCTTAGGTTGAGGGTTATAGATACTATTTGTCCGTCTCTGCTGAGAGTCATTATATTAACTTTTCACTGAAGCATCTTCTCACTTTGGTTGACATCTACTTGCTTTTCAAATTTTTTGTCTGCTTCTTGAAGATTAATCATGGATCAGCAAAAAAAAACCAATTAATTTTTATTATGCCTTAAACATTTATATCACAGCATTGGAAAATGAAACACACACTTCCTGTTGGTTGTTGTGGGTTTTTCGGGCTCTTTGGCTGTGTTCTGCAGGTTGTTCTTCCTAACGTTTCGCCAGTCTCTGTGGTCAGAGCATAGAGTGCTGTCCTCTGAAGATGCCGGCCACAGAGACTGGCGAAACGTTAGGAAGAACAACCTTCAGAACATGGCCAAAGAGCCCGAAAAACCCAGAACAACCATTAGATCCCGGCCGTGAAATCCTTCACAAATACACACTTCCTGTTACTTGCAACTCTATCAGTATATGAATGTATGGCATAACGATGAAAACTTTGTACAGATTTTTTTTTAGATTTTTACAAATTTATCAACTTATTAAAAACAGACACTCAAAGAAAATAAAATTTTAGGTTTAGAAATATATCTCTTGTATATTTCAAGAGGAGCCTCATGGCACGAGGATTAAACTGTTGTACTGCAGCCAAAACTACTCACGACCCAGATTGAGTCTCAGTTAGTCAGCTCAAGGTTCACTCAGCCTTCCATCCTTTTGAGGTCAATAAACTGAGTTCCCAGCTTGATGAGGAGTGGGGGTGGGAGCAATGTGTACCCCAAATAATTAAATTATAAACCACCTAGATAGCGATTCCTTTAAACGCTATGGAGCAGTATATGAGCAGTACACTTTTCCTTTGTGTAAAAAGTACATTTGTATCTAAAATTAATTAGGATCAACGGAATTCAGTGTGTACAATGAAAGACAAAAAACAACTACTTTGAAAAAACAATTGATGAAAAAAACTTGTTATGCTACACCGGGTCCCACACAAAGTTAAGGAGAGCTCCAGTTCTCCTTGTTTCTTATTTTCAGAGGGGAAATGATGTGTGGCAAAACAATAACCCACTCATCCCAACTGTAGTCCCAATCTATTCATGAGACTCATAGAGCTCCCTTTCGTTACAAAGAAAAGTAGCAGAACCTAATGCCACTTTAGCAAGCATGCTTAGTGTGACATAATTTGGTCCAACTGCAGCTATAATAATGGGTGGGGCACACTATCTGCAGGCAAAAAATGTAAGATAGGCTCAAAATTTCCGTAAGGATTTTACTGAATTTAGGGCTGGAGTCTCACAGAAAGAAACCCTTCAAGGGTTTTAAAAATATATATATATAATGAAATGCATTACATTTTCAGATTGCTTTCCACAAAACCCACTACTTTCAAATATGGTTATTCTTTTCTACATTCAAGAATATGTTTTTCTGACTAAAGAAAGGTGTGACAATATAAGCCTTTATTCTAAAAATAGTGCTGGTGTATAATTTTGAAAATATTACTCTGTTCCTCCAGTATGTTTAAAGAGAAATTCATATATATGTAAGATTTTTAGCTTTTCCAGCTGTTGTCACACAGAACTACCACAGCTTTGACAGCAAAATTCTAAAAGTAATTGGGCTTTTCCCACCTCCCAAGTTCATAAGACATTTTTTCTGACGAGCAGCTTGGGAGTGGCGTATGCCTCACCCCCGCCCAAAGTTTCTGGTGGGTGCAACCCTACTCTGGCTATGAGTTCCATACAAAAAACAAGAAACAAACAAAAACCCTAAGATTATTATGAAGTACAGCCTCTTTTGGTTATATTATTTTGTAATCAGTAGCCTAGAATGCACTCATGTGCAAAACTTCTGATTTCTTCCATGTTTACACAATTTGTGATTTTGTAAACAACTTAAGGTGAAGAAAAACATTTATCAGCTTTACTCACTTTGACTCCATTGACAGAGTAAAATTTTCCTCAGCATCACTGAGCCCAATGCTTCCCTCAACCAGCAAATTCAGTGTAAACCTATTAGCCAGATTATGCAACTGTGGAACGACAGCAACACTAGTTGCAAAATACAGTCTCTCTTTATCACATTCTTGTATGAGGGGTGAGCAACATATACCTATCCAGAGGTTGCTGGATTACAGCTTTCATTGTCCCTCTTCACTGGCTATTCTGGCATAGCCTGATGGAAGTTGAAAAACACACACAGAAGGCCACAAGTGGACCATCCTGTCTTCTATTATGTGATTCCAAGGCATCAGCTAAAATGTGGCTTTTGACATAAACCAATTCGAATTGAGAGAGTCAACCCTTACCCAATTCCTGGGAGGAAACCATGGCAGCCGCTTCTTGAGATGACACACATTCATTAACATCTCCATTGAATGGGATTACAACATTATCTCCTCGTCTCTGCTGCATTGTCTCTAGCAACTTGTCCAATTCATCACCTAGTAAAGAATATAGCTTTAGAACATAAGTGCCTTTAGAACATATCCGCCTCAAAATTTAATGAGAAATATGAAAAAGGAAGACCACGCCATACTTAATCTCCATCCACTACAAAAACCAGCTCTGATAATTGAATGCTTAACATAAAGTTGACCAGAGAAGTCCTAACTGTTCCTTTTGTGCCAGAGGCTATAAATCCTTAAAGAGGTAAGAAAAAAGAAAAAAAAGTAGTGTTGCTTTCTTCTGCTCCTTCCTGGAGAGAGCTTCCACAAATGATTCTGGGCAACTGTTGGTTCCCCCACACCAGCAAGCTATCTTGCTATATTAAGAATATGTTTTTCTGACTAGTGTTAAGACATGAGCCTGAATCTTACCTTACAGGAGGTAAGATACAGGCTCATGTCTTAACACTAAGGATACTTCTTACATCCACAAGAAACTGCTGAAGGAGGTTATCCAAATGTATGGAATAATGTATTATAAGACTGCCAATATCACCTACCTCTATTTCCCCTTGTCATTGGATCTCTAATGGACTTGATGGGGATTTGCTGGTTGCTGAAGAAACATTTCAGCTTGCTTGTACTGTATGATTCTTCAACACAAGCTTCACAGAGAGCTGTCCAGAGTGCTACATTCTTTGAGTTGACCTTGACTGACCAGAACCTGACCTTTGCTTTGATTGATGTTGCCTTATCAAAATGTAAATCTGAACATGATTGATGTTGTCTTGATAGAACTTGTTTAGCAACTCCTGCTACAGCTAGAGCCTTGTATAGCTCGAGACTGCTGCCTGGGACTCAACATTCATTGAAGAGGCAAGTAAAGGCACTTTTATTCATTGAGCTATTCAGGAACTTGAAGGTGCTGTATTGTCATTTCTGCGCCTTTTCTTTTTTTATTATTATTCATAAACCATTCTATAACATTACATAATCTTTCAAGAAAACTGGTGATCTTTCTATACCGCCTTGTGTCACAATGTGGCATAGAAATGTAGTTAGTAAGCAAAACATCACATTAAGATTTTCCTCAGTCTAGAAAGAACCAATGATGGATATATATACCAAAATTGGAGGAGGAGCCCCCACTACACAAAATAAGCACTGAGAGAACAAAAAAAGAGATGATTTCAAGCAGAAGAGACAGAATACATTTCCTTCCTTACTCTTTCTGATGTTAGCCCATCTACATCTGTATTGTACACAGAGCAATCTTGAGACAGTTTTCTGGTTTCTCAAAACCACAATTGATTTATCTTTCAAAAAATGCCTAGCAACGTATCTCAAGATAACATGGAAGTGGCTGTACATTTAGTCAGGAGGTCATTTGCTTGGTCTTTATTTTGATGTGTGAAAACAGTCAGATTTATATCTCAGAAGACTTTAAATCAGAATCTTATATTCACTTACCTAAAGATGTGTTTTTGAAATGTGATGCCAAGAAACTAACTTTCCCAGTAATAAGCTCATAACTGATCTCCTTTAAAAACTCACTGGTGGTAAGCATGCTCTCTGCCAATGCTCTCGACTGATACTGACCTAAAAAAAACACAAAAGGATGAAGAAAAATCACAGGACATCATTCGATATAAAGATTTGTGTTTTGGCCCTGTTTTTTTTTAAATAAGCTGAAGAGAGACCAAGTGAGGGGAATTTTAACACATAACTTAAAATATAGTATTGCTTCTGATGTATAATCAGTTTATAAGTAATGCAAGTTTTAGCTTGCAAGGTAGAGTTGCAATTGTGTGGTGTTTGATGCAATAATTGTGTAGCCCCATGTTAGCTTACCCACAAATTATGCATTTATTTATGAATAAGTTCATTTTATGAAAAGATGTAAAATCCCTAGAAATGGGGGTAGCAAGCCAAGAAATTAATGTATCATACTAAGATTAGAATCCTGTATATATTTGTTTGAAAAATGCTCCATAGAAATCAGTGGGGTTATGACATTTACAGAAGTGCGTTACTGAAAAAATGTAAACTTATATCCACAATGTAAGCACAGTAATACTGGGTGAAATATGTAGTCAGTTAAAAAAAAGGTTGTGTTTGCTTTCTAACTTGTATGAACAGCAGGACCATGTAAGCAGGAAGTGTTCAAGAGTGTTGCACGTCTCTTGTGAGAGAGTCTGCATACTTGCAAGGGCAGCACTGGAGCAGTTCTGCAAATATAAGGTAGATGATAGGGCACTAGCCCCCAAAGGCTTTCCCAGGATGAATAGGATCACAAAGAAGCCTTGGGACATGGGGTCTAGGGATCAGAAACTTTTAATTATCAATAGAGGCTGTGGCCGATGTTGTAATCAATGAAGGACTTCAGCCAATAGGTTAAAACAGATTAATTATTCTGTGAGCAGGTCCTTTCGCATCATTTGCCTGCTATTCCCCAAAGCCAGGTTGACCTGTGAGTGTTCCTCTAGTTAAAAGAAGTCATGAAGAGCGAGGGGTGACATATGCTCCCAAAGGTCAGGGATCACAAGTAAACATGGAACAGTAACTGTATGAAGAGCTAAAAATTGCCTCCATTAAAATGTTTCTTCTTCAAAATACAGTGGGGTCTTGACTTGAGAACTTAATCCGTATTGGAAGGTGGTTCTCAAGTCAAAAAATTCTCAGGTCAAATCTGCATTTCCCATAGGAATGCATTGACCCAAAGCCAGGTTGACCTGTGAGTGTTCCTCTAGTTAAAAGAAGTCATGAAGAGCGAGGGGTGAAATATGCTCCCAAAGGTCAGGGATCACAAGTAAACATGGAACAGTAACTGTATGTAGAGCTAAAAATTGCCTCCATTAAAAAGTTTCTTCTTCAAAATATACAAATTATTCCCCAAAACTGACATTTCTCATAAATTGGAAAATTATGAGATTTTGTGCCCCAAATTCCATTTTAAATAAAGGAATAAATTATAAACAAATAATTTTCATCTGCATCAGAGCCAAACTAAAGCCAAACAACCACTTTTGGTTTATTTTTCGTCTAGCATAAATTAAAAGAGAAATCTTCCACAGAACTGGACACAGCACTTAAGTTCTTGTATTCTACCATCAGGCAACTTTCACACATACCCAGCACACAGACTGGCACTGTTCGGGTAAAACTGGTGTTAAACAAACAAACAATACAAACAAAAAATAAACACCTTGCAGATGCTACCAAGAAATAGTAGTTACCACTAAGTGCCTACCATTCCCCACCGTTATGTGCAAATGTTCTGAAGCAACAGTATGGCCAGGCTCGTGCTGAAAGTAGGGAATGGTGTCTGCTGGCTTGAAGCCACAAAGGTGAGCTCTGCTACTGGCAAGAGCAAGTTTCTCCCATAATTAAAGAGTCACCAGTGCACCTCTTGCTTTTTCCAGCTGTCAATGGGAGGAAAAATGGAGGGTCATTTTAACCCCTACCATGTTCTTGACCATCTTCAAGGTAGACATATTTCCTGGCTAATGTGAAACAGCCCAGGTAACACTGTTATGCAATGTCCCATTTTCCAAGATCATCAGAGAACGGGCTGTGTGCTTGCTCCCCAATGGTCGTGTGTCCAGAATTCCACCACACATTTCCACTGCAACTAAAATTATGTCAGGGAATTCTGTAGCATATTTAGTCCTTTGTTCAGGATGAACCACTGCCCAAAGAGATTATTAAAAGAGAATACCTCACAGAACCTCTGAGTGTCTTCTGGATAAGAAAAATTGGAAGACTTTATGGAATGCATGATATACAGTATTGGACAATTTCTTCTTGCAGAGAGAATATATTGTCCTAAATATATTGAGGTTGACAAAAACTGTTTAAAATGTGGCTCTAGTAAAGAACATTTATATGGACAAGAATATTGCATTGTACAAACAGTAAAGTCTTTGTCGTGTTCTACTAATAAGCTTCCACTCCACTCAATTGCCAAATGAGCTTTTATACCAGTTGTTTAAAAACTGATCCAGCAACTTTAGGAAAGGTGGGCTGATCATAAACAGGAAATGCAAAGATAAACCCAAGGTGTATGTGTACAACCCTAGAGTCTGTGATTAAGATAAAGTTAAGATGTCACCCAAGATCACAGGAAAAATACAAAGAAATACAAATAGTTTAACCTTAATATTTGAAAGGAAATGCAAAAGGAGTACTGACATATAGATGTTTAATAAGTACTCTGTTGTTATTTGTGAATCCAGTGCTAATATTGTGACTGCATCTTATATCAAGACTGTGCGCTCGTTAAGAGAGGCACCACTGTACGAATATCCCTGCACAGGTCGTATTAATGAGGGTCCAGCCCCATGGAGCCGGATGGATCACTCACCAATCCACCGTGGACGCGGATGGCACAATTCTACGAATGGCTCCGCAGCACACAATCCACTCGCCATTCCTGGCAGGAGGTGTGAGGACAAGACTTGCTACAAGGTCAAAGAGTGGCGAGCAGATTGCACACTGTGGAGCCATTTGTAGAATCGTGTCTTCCACGTTTGCAGCAGATCGGTGAGTGGACCATCCGGACCCATAGGGCTGGACCCTCGTTAACGCCACCTGTGCAGGGATGTTGGTATTCATATACGAATACCCCCATCTCTAATCAAGACATCAAACAAGTCCATCCAATTTCACCTATCTAAGTTGGGCCAGTACAACTTATCAACTTATTTATATTTGGTCTGTAACAGTCTACGGAGAAAAAGTACCCACCTAGAACCATGACACAGAACTCATTTCCTCTTATCTTCGATGTGCAGATGGTGACAACATAATCTGGCAGCCTCTGTGGGCACTTCATTTCACTCAGAGATCGCAGCGTTTCTGAAATGCCTTCAGCTAGAGAATTCTGAGTGATCACCACATGCACCAAGTCCTGGGAGACGCTGGCAATTAATCTGGCAAGCCATGGGAGTTGAGCTGGCGACAAAGAGATGCACTGTGCGCTCATTTGTAAGGTCTGCTCTCTTAGAGCAAATTCCTGCATAGCCTTCAGCATGATCTGTTCAAATTCTTCCCTGAGAGGTATTTTATCAGGACCTGCAATTTTAGTAAAACAAAGACTAAATATGTCATCAAAAGCTTCTTCCCTCAGATCAACTTACTCTGTTACCAGGTAAGTGTATTATCAAAATAATTACAAACTACAAGACTCAGGATATGGTGTTAGTTGCAGTGAGTTTCCTTAGTTTAAAAGAAAGAAAAGAAACCACATATGTGTAGATCTGGCCACTAAAAGAGGAAAGAAAGCTTTGGAGATAAGAACTGGCCAGAAGAGATTAGGCAGAAAGAAGATGGTAATGTGGGGATTCGAACATGTGGCTTGGTTTATTTATGAGAATGCAGTGGGAGCAGTTCCCTCTGCAAGCACCTTTTCACACTGTGCTCCTGGCACTGCAACTAGCATGCTGGCCTTTGGACTAGTAAAGCCACTCCTTAAATATTTCACTTACAGTATTTTGGAAGCCCTATTAGAATTGCTATAACTTGTTTCCAACTTGATGACATATAACACACCACCGGATTTTATGCATGTACCAGATTTACCCAAAACTGCACTTTTGATACATACAACAGAGGGGTTTTACCCACTAACTTTGTATCATATTGACTTTTTGTTGTTGTTGTTCTAATCTGTGGCGTTGCAAAAGACTTATGTAAAATTTCAGTTCACTTTAGACAAATCAAACAGTTAATTAGCTTCAGATATTATTAATTTTGGCAATTGCCAGTTGCTGTTCCCAGAATATCACAGCAGGCATTTACTAGCAGGTTACGAGAAAAATCATCAACTGCTAATACATTACATTTAAATAACAAATAGCATGAAGATTTACTTCTTTCACAGAACATGGTGAGATTACCAAACATAGAAGCTATCTGCTTCCTGCGTTTTAAGAAACCTGAACACAAGTTTCAGCTTTGTCCTATTGAT